GTTTGCCCAGCAAGTTTCAAAGGATGAATCCTGTGGCATAGACCAATCAAGCTGATTGGCAGCTAGAATGAGGCCATCGAAGTCAGCTTTCCAATAGTTGTATGTTGGCGCCACTGGACGCACACATGGAAGCTGCAGGTCTATAGTGGCCATAATTGTCGAGTGAGCACTGGCCGCCATGGGCTCAAGAACTTCTATGTCATGCACTGTTTGTTCGCAGCTGGTTAGCAGCAGGTCCAGGCATGATGGCATTGAGCGCGGGGTTATGCGGGTGGGTTGCGTGATGTGCTGCACCGTTCCGGTTTCCAGTACCAGTTCGGCGAATCTTGTCTCCACTTCATTATGGCCAGGGAGAAGCTGAACTTCAGGCCATAAGATTCGAGGAAGGTTAAAGTCGCCAGTGAGCAGGAACTGCGGGCGACTCATTTGGTTTTGGACGTGTGTGAGCCAATCCAATCCGTTACTCAGTGGGCTACGATATGCCACACCCACAAGCAGTTCGCCGCGTCGTAGGTGGATCGAACACCACAGCTGCTCACATAGACCGTCAATGCTTCGGTAGGTGCTCACGAGTCATGACCACCGACATGCTCGTTAGACTATTTTCGGCTTTTGTAAGACCGCACTTAGAATACTGCTTCCAGGCTTGTCCTCCATGCCTGGTTTGTGATAAGATGGCAGTTGAACGAGTCCTGCGGTCCGGGACGAAAATGGTGTACAAATTATACAAGCTGACATACCCGGAGAGGCTACGTATGTTGGATGTTTTCCATGCATTACAGGCGGCTTCGGGTCGACTTGGTCCTCACATATCGTATATTGATGGGTCAGATTGGTCCTGATTTGACTGGACTGTTTCGCCCAACTCGAATGCCAACCCTTCGTGGCCACCCATTAAAGTTGCACAAACCCCGGTCTGACCGAGTTTTGGCAACTTTTAGGTCATCGCGTAGGGTTATAGCTTATTGGAACACATTGCCTGCAGACGTCGTGATGGCATCGACGGTGAAAGAGTTCGAGTATCGCCTTGACGCTCTCGGTCTGCAGTTTAAAGTCTTCCACTTTTCTTCGTCCACTACGGCCTACGTTTCTTTAACTCATTTTAACTTACATCTTAATATTGCCTACGATATTCGATTAGCTTGTCTTCTCCTTTGTTTTCTTTACTTTACTGACACTACTGATTTACCTTATTCTTCACGTGGCCGGCACAGCGGGGACTGCTAGTGCAGGGCACGTGGGCATTGTTTGGTTGACCATATGAATCGTGTGTGTTGATTTGGCTCTCCTTTGGCACATCAAAGCATCGGTTTCCCTGTTGGATCAACGACGTTTTCGAAGGTGGTACATTCGCGGGATTTTCCTACTGTTCCGATCCCAATTGAACTTGAACTTATGCGGCATTTAAACAGATTGCACGGTGGCTCAAAGCGTGACATCAAGTTCAAGTTCAAGTGGGACTGGAACGATAGGATTATCCCGTGAGTGTTCCTTCTTCGGCGGGTCGTTGAACCAGGAGTTAGCGAACTTTGAAATACTGATGGACCTAAAACAAAGACCGCATCACACCCTGTCCAATCAATTAATGCCCACGTATCCTGCCCTAGCAGTCCCTGCTAGGTCGGTTACGTGAAGTAAGAAAGAGAAAAAAGTAAACGCAGAAGGCAAAAGAGAGTGGTAAGAGCTAAGCAAGTGGAATACCAAGATATTTGAGTCAATAAAAAAAGAACTGAAAAGTGAAGGTGAGTCGGCTAGGAAAAAGGAAAGGTTTGCTGTTGCCACCCAAGAGCATCGAGCTGGCTTTTTTCGGTTGTCTTGTGAACTATGCATTGGTGTGTCCGCTGATGAAGCGGAGGAGGAGCGGCTTCGATTGCGCACAGTATGGATGCATGGAGGAGTCACCGGCGGTAGTACGGGCGTCACCAATGCGGCGTTATTATCTGTCTTTTTCGCCAAAGTCAGATTCGCCAGAAGGGACTTATCGTTAACAATAAGTCGGCATTTGTCACAGTGGAATGTTAGCGCGGAAGATGCCGTTCTTTTCAGGCATTCATAAAGATCGTGCTCAATGCCGCTGCACGTTGTGTGGGCCCATCCTTCGCACAGACCGCACTGCAGCGCTTTAGACCGAGAAGTGACATTTCTGCTGCAGCTCAGGCACTTAGATGCTGCTGCTGCTCTCGTTTTGTCGAGAGTAGCGTCCAAAGTGCTAGACGCACGGGAGGTCGCAGCTCGCTGGACCTTGCTCGTCATGCTTGATGTCTTGTGGATAGGTGTCGCTATCCAAATCACCTTGGATGTGTGAAGGAATTTGACAGACGTCAAATTCTATTACCAATGTGCGTTGAAACACCGGTATTCAAGCGTATTTCACTTGTAAGACAAAAG